AGTTTTCCCCACGTAATTATCGCACCTCCCAACTTGACATCAGTTTTCCGCCAAAAAAATTGCGAGGATTATGCGAGTAAATATGCTAATACGCATCTGAATATGTTTTCACAGCTTACCACCCTTCTACTGCGCTGGAACAACCTTTACAGGGTGTACATGCAGATTAGTATACATCTATTTGTTCAGTCGAATAATTCAAAATTTTTGATAATTCAAATTTTACTCGAATTGAATTTGGATACTCCATTACTTGCACAAGCCTAATGTACACATTTCTGAATTCATTTTCATTTGTTTTGTATTTTTTCCTCGCATCGATGTATTTTAGCGTAACATATTATCATGAGTATCACATATGCTGACTCATAGATCGAAATACGCTCGCACGCCGTTCGAGACCAGCGAGCATCACACACTTAAAAACAACTGTCGCGATCTCTATTGTTCAATTGGGGCAAGACCGAGTAGTCAACATTTTAAGAGGTTCACTCGCGCAAACATACAATGGAGCGAGCTAGTTGGACCACAATCATCTTCGCTAAGTATACAAAAGCAGGCACGGCACCCCAAGCGACTGCTACGAAAAAAGTAACACGAAAGTTGTCTCCATGCATATGCGCGTGTACGTAACCTTTGAGGCATGTGCACCACGGGATTAGCTGGCAACAGCCGCATTGCTCATGCAAGGAAGCTTCACTGGAAACTTCACTAAAGCACTGAACAATAGCTTCAAACGCTCGCCACTATTCGTAATCGCCCCATCTCGCATGGCGGAACAGGCTTTAGAAGATACCACCACGCGTAATGACAAATAAAGGTGCACTCTATAAAGGTTGAGTGCGTATCTTATCTTTTCTGAGTCTGCTAGCCCAAAACCTGTCTAAAGCTTTCCAGAGAGCTTCCACGACTAAGTCATCTTGGACGCTGCCCCGCCATAGATGGTCTTGTGGCTAAGGTACTCGGCTGCTGACCCGCAGGTCGCAGGATCGAATCCCGGCTGCGGGGGCTGCATCGAAAATGCTGTAGGCCCGTGTTCTCGGGTTTTGGTGCACGTTAAAGAACCCCAGGTGGTTGAAGTTTCCGGATCCCTCCACTAGGATGTCTCTCATAATCATATGGTGGTTTTGGGGCCCCACATATCAATCAATCAATGTCCTCGATGCTGCTGGTGGCTCTCAGGCTCCCCGCAGGTAGCCAGAACCATCCAACTCGAGAAAAACGAACGCTGACCGCAAGTGCGCCCCGGGGGAGGGATGGAGCTGCCCGAGAAAAACGAGCACACTCTGGCTGGTTGTGGCAGCCCGCGGGTAGCCAGAATTGAAAAATCGAACAGCCCCTGTGCCGAGGCATGCATTCGCGATCAGCGCGGCACACTATTGTATTCTGATTATTGAGGTTCTGCTCGTAGGTGCCAAACTAAAGCATAATTATACTCTGAAGGGATTGTTGAGCCATGCACACAGATCGAGTGTGATCGCATAAATAAGTATTCTGGACAGTTGTGACCTTGTGACACACAAGCAGCAGACTACACTCTCTCAGAGCGAGGATGGGGCCAATGGCAATTTGTGCTAGAGCAATGAGGCAGATATGGCCAATCGGAAGCCTCATATAGAACCTTAAGGGGAGACGCTCCTCGAAAAAGTTTTTTTTTTATTTCTAGTAATAGATACTTGAAAAGTTTGTTATTAGTATAGTTTTTCATGCAGATTTCAAATATGCAATCATTTTTTGTGTAGCTGCTATAATTATTGAGTTATGCCATAAACAATAGCAAAAAGTTACATTTTTTGCGGGCACTCTTTTATGTACTAAACTTTCAGTAAAAGCACTGTGTCTGATCTTATTTGACTCTTGGTAGATTGAAAAGTGCAAATATCTATATAGATATGTCACAGAAATATTGGAACCAAGGAAAAAAAAATTGTATTGAATGACTTATTATTTTCAATTTTCCTTGAAACAATAAGCTAATATTTTCACAACTAATGCTGGTAGGCATTGCAATTTAGAGTAGATATTTGCATTCTGCATGTGTTGAAGAATATGTGTGCCAAGTTTCGTTACTATACAATGAATATAAGTTTCTAAAAGGCTGCCCGGAAAACGTGAAACTGCCAGAAAAAATGAAAATGAGAAAAACAAGTTTGAAAGTTCGCAGAGTTGGCATTTATTAGGAAATCATTCTTTTTGCATCAAATTGGGGCACAATGAAAAGTACCTTGCCTTGAATGCACTGCAAGTGTCTAGAAGTCCCCTGCACCATAGCTTGGTCCTTCACGGCTCTTGCGGTCAGTGTCCTCAACACGAGCTCTCTTCGCTGTGTTGCGACGGTGTGCCCTCGCTTCTGCAGTTTGCTTCAGGTTCATCTTCCTGATGCGCATGACGTCACAGTGGTCACCATGTGTGGCCAGATCTTGTGAGGGGAGAATTCCAATGCCTTCGAGCACTTCTTCAAAGCCCCTGTGGCCTTTGTTGTACCAGAGTACAGCAAGAGCGGTGGCTGTCTCCACAGTTGTTCTGGAGGCGAACTTTGTTTTTGGACATAGCAGCCATATCTTGCTGTTCAGCGATTCGGCTGCATTCTGTGTCTTGCCATGAAGGCACCGAATAAGGAGTTTCTCCTCTGTAAGGCGCTTGTAGATAGGCATAATTGCCAATCCTTGAGCCTTCGTCAACAGTGGGGTGTGGCGTGGTGCAGGCTCCCCCAGTGCTTCCGCACGCTTGTGCTTGCACCACGAATTTGGTCCCGCGGGGCCAAAGTTGTGGCTACTGGCACCATCACTGGAGCAGCAATGAAAATACGATGCCCATATGGCAGTGTACATATTTCGGACACTGTCCTTGTTGCTCGTGATGGCGATCTTGTAATATGTTTGTAGTTTTATTATTGTCGCATCTTTCAGTTTTTCGCCTCGTGGCAGTGGCGTTGCCAATTTCCGTAGGGCAGTTCCCAAGCGCTTTGCAACGTGGTTCGTGCACTCTTCTTTGTCAATGGGGGTGTCACAGTATACATTTGCCTCGCAGACTGCAGTGTAGGCCTTGCTGTCACCATCACTTAGGAAGCTGGTGAATCGCAGTGGAGTTTCATAAGACAAAGTCCTCTGCCATATATTGACAGCTGCCGCAGGTTCCATTGCATGGGATGAGCAGTCAGTGTTTTTTTGGCAAACTGGAAGATGAAAAGCTCGCCATATCTCTTCATCCTCCCCAAGGTCCCTGTGTATACTGCAAGCATGGCAGTAGTTCGAAAGAACTTCAAAATCGAGGCAGAGCCGCGTGTCCAGGGACACAACTGTGCCCACTCCATTGTGGCTTTTATGACCTCTTTTCTGCCAGGTGCCATCAAACATGACTGGCACATCTCTGGCGCCGACTGCGTCCTTCGTGATGTTTCGTGCCTGGTGCAAGTTTTGGCTCACTGCCGTCATCGCTGCACCATGGAGCTTCTTGCAAATGCCGTTGAATGTCTTGTGATGCATCGGGCTCGGAAGACCGAGAATCGCACAAAATCGTGAAAGTTGGTCGTGGCCTGCGCCTATAGCGCGTGCTGCCAGAACTGCCTTCACGTTTACAGCAAAGCTGTCACGCGAGCTGCCGCTGTCAAAACGAGCGCTCGTTTCTTGGTCCCCGGCCGAAGCAGTACATCTCGACGTGTGCGTGAACGAAAGTGCAGATTCAGGGCAATCAGAATTTTGACAGCACAGTTCGAGGAATGCCGAAAGTCTTTTGCGCTTTCCAGCTGTCTCTCGCACGCCGAGCTTCCGTTCGCGGCAGGTTGGGCATTGCGCACCCGCCACAAGTGCCGTCAGCGCATCGATTTCGCAAAGCAGCATGTTCGCAGTAGCAGCATCTACCGGTCTACGTTCACTCTCGAAGAATCCAATCTTCCTTTGGGATGCACTGACGAATTCCACGGCAGCGGCTATTTCACAACCACTGTCGCAGGGTTCGGTGACGGTGTTAGGCCTATGCGAAGTCGGAGCGTCGGGGCGTTGGTCGGGGGCGACATCGTCGTTCGCTGTCGCTTTGCGAAGCGTCCGACGCCGTCTCCCTCGATACTTGTGGCGAGTTCTGAACTTTCGATTATCTGAACTGCACTTCTTCGGGCTTGCCATGACGCAAAAATGCAGAGAAACGCAGAAAAACTCGATCGCGACGTCCGAGGCTTCGCTCTTTTGCCGGAGAGATAGGAGGGGGAGGAGCGTGGAGCGCACCGCCGTCCAATGGCGGGCTCGCGCTGTGTGCCACGATATTCAAAACGCGTGACGTACGCGTTGTTTTTCTCGTTTTTTGTTTATTCTGCGTGAAGGCACGAGACTGGCTACTAGTGGATTATGAAGGATACGGCCTTCGCAGCATGCGTGCACGATTGCAAATGGCGGCCAACGCGTCGTTTTCGCGACAGGACGACGCGAACTTCGCCGTTTTTTCGCGACTTTCGCGCATTTCTCGCGTCACCGCTGCCCACTTGGAAGCATTTTTTGATAATTTCTCGTGCGAATTTCAGCTTGATATTTTCAAAAGTAATAGATTATAGTCCAAAGATGCCAATACAGCCGAAAAAAAAAAGCGAAAATTTTCCGGAAAACCGCGACTCTTCGACCCGCGTCTCCCCTTAAACATTTGCTTTTTGTATGCTTGTTTTTGAAGGGAGGACATAGCTGCTGTCGGAAATTTGAAGACAGAAAAGTGTCTTTTCGATGAGCCCAGTATGGTGGCACCAGGTTGCACCATTGCAAAGCTATAATTGTTTTTTAAATGTAATTTAGAATATGCTGAGGGATTCTTTGCGCCTTTTGTCATTTTACTTCCGAGAATTCGAAAGATATCTCTAAAATATTAGAAAAATATTCAATTCTATTCTCCCTGAAACTTCACTATTTGAGTGCGCTTCGCACCTAAATTATTGCTATTTGTAAAGCTATAGTATTTAGGTATATTAACTTTTCTTTGCAAAGTTCAAAACAGTTGCCCCCACTTTTTCTGCTGTCCAGGGCTCACACCTGTTTCAACAGGCTAGACTTGCCCCCATATTCATCGTTCGATATGCTCCACGAGAAGCTGCTGCTGGCCGTTGAAGAGTCGAGCACATTCGGCATCGAGTAAGTCATTAGAGACATAGCGGAAGTGCTGCCGGAGGTGTCCACCGCACCTCCAAACATCATGGCAAAGCACGGCACTCGCGCCATATCTGCCATCATCGTTCCTTGGTGAGGGAAGTGGTTGCCATGTTTGCTGCGAATTCTTCGGGAAAGCCATCCACCCGGACGACAATCCCCTTGTGAGAGCAGCCTCGGCCTTGTGAAGCATGCCGGGAAGTTGTTGTTTTCACTGTGTTCTTTCCTTTATTTTTAAATTTGGTCAATACAGAAGCCAGCTAACGAGGGCTAAGTTGACAGCTACAGCCCTTTTGAAGCTTGGCACTCCCGACGATGCACTTAACGCGCACAAGTCGCCTTGCGGTCATCCTTCACTTCGTTTCACACTTGAACCTTGATTGCAAAAGGCTTTAGGCTTCTGTGAAAGCTGTGCCTTAAGTTTGGGTAGTAGTGCGCACAAGATATTTATGTGCTTCGTTTAGTCTTAAAATGTGATCAGTGTATAGGATTTTTTTCATGGGAAGTAAACAAGTAGAAAAGATTGATGTTAACAGCGCTGCGCCAAAATTTTTTCGCGGGGTGCGAAGAAAGTGGGTTTGCAGATCATGTTCAGGTTTCCTGCATGAAGTCATCGTTACAGTTGTGCAAGATGCCCCTTCTCCTCCTCTTCCCTTTTTTTTTTTTGTTGAAACCTGCCAAGTGGTTTATGCCAAGAAAGGAATCTGCCATAGGATTTGCATGTTATGCCGTTGCAGTGAACAGGGGTGTCAGGTGGAAGGCGCTGCCCAGTTTTGATGCGCCATCTTGCGAGAGGCAACTGCTCATTCGCAGTAACGCTCTTTTGTACATCTCGGTATGTTACAAGGAATAATGTCCAATGTCTGCAGTGCTAGGAGTGTCTGGATGATGATGCTGACCAATTTAGATTATAAGTGTTTGAATAATTGCATACCGGTTTGTGCGTGTAATGTTGCGTGCACTGCCTCTGAAAGCCACGCAGTGATTTTGTCAATTATAGTGTACCGACAGCTGTTGTCAACGCCAGCTGATGCAGTAGAGAAGTTCCTGAGGGTGGCGCAGTCATTTTATCATTGAACAGTGTGTGTATGTGTTTTAGGTCTACATTATTTAGCACGAAAAGCAGTGTTGGTTTTTTATTTATTTATCGTACTTCTCAGGGCACCATTCGGTGAAGTGTTAATACCATTAACAAGCTATTTTAGTGCATTCTACTGTGAAGCTTTTGCGCCAGTGCGAAGCGAGCTTGCACCACTTTTTGTATAGTATTGACAAGGTGTTTCTTTCCTTTATTGTTGAGAGCACTCGTTATTTTATACAGCTTACTTAGCTCTTCAGAGAGCTTCATGCCTAACCAGTTATCTAATCATTGTTTTAGGAATATATGTATTATGATTATTAACATTATTCGAGTATTTTATGTTGCGCAGTATTGTACAATTGTGAATTACAAACGCAACATTGGGTTGTCCTGTCAGGAATGCTACTCTGTGTTTTGTTAGTATTATTATTATTACTGTATTGAACACATTGTGATAGGTTTATTACAGTGTGGTTGGTTAGGACTGTAATAATAATTTTTTACCGGGCTACCCGTTCCAAAAAATGTTATGTTGGCATAACTGCTCTCAACGCACCTTAGCTTTCCGGTTTTCTGCCTTGCGCACACAGTGAGTGTTCTCGTTTTTTCTGGTGATGCAGTTTGTCCCGTGTGTGCCAGCTCCTTTTGGCCTTGTCACGTGTCCGCTGTCATGTTGTGTTTCATATTATCGCTTCACCTTTCCAACACAAAGGGTACCAACAGAATTTCTGTACTGCTAATCGATATCTTGTAAATTTGTGTGGAAAAGCTTCATTTGCGTTGCTTGCACTTTGTAGACAGTTGCACCTACTATTTATTTATTCTTTTGCGGAGGCAAGTGGCGAGATAAGAACAACAAAGTGGACTGTGTTGTGGACCTCGACGCCTTTGACGATGACGACGTCAACAAGCTTCTCAAAGTGGTTTCAGTGGCTGCGGACATTACGCTACACTGTTGCGCTACATGCAAGATCTAAGCGTTTCGATGCACATAGATTTATTCAAGGAACTAGAGAGCTATTTTTCGATTGGCTGTTTGATTTTTAAAGCCTATATTCGTTACCCTGTGGACTGGCTATTCTCGGAGTTGTCGTGCCATGGATGATGTTTGTATTAGTCGAGTGTTGCGTGTTTAGTGGCCTCTCGTGCAAAAAAAGTGTGACAGCCTGCTGCCCGGTGTTACCCAATATCGGCTCTACTAACTGCTTTGATTGATTTCAACGGAACTCGTTTAGCCTGTGCTTGGAGGAATACTTGTTGGTTATGTGTTGCATGGTGCGAAGATGCTGTGGGACTGAAATGAAAAATGTGCCGGTTTTATGAAAATGTTGTAAAAAAAAAAAAAAAACTTGCACGCAAAAGTGGGCAGTGTCCAAGCTAAAGCTAGCCTTGCTGCTTTCAAGTGGTGTACGGTCAGTTCATCTGTTCTTAAGCCACTCATTAAGATTTGTTTTTCTTTCATTGTGGACATCATGTTATATTAGTTCACCGCATCTGGTCACAGACTGTGGCCCTTCAAAATTGAGAAAGACATAAATCTCTGGCAATAGTTTGGCTGCATCCATAGCCAAAAGCTTTTTTCAAACTGCCCACCACTGACTGTAAATGTATATGGTGTTTCTTCTATCATTTGTCATTTCTCTAAATCCACGTTGCTTGGTTAGGGTACAAAACCTGAGTGCTTAGGCCATTATTAAGCTCTCATTCTTGGTGTACAGGTACAATATGACCCGCTCAATTCATTTCACTGGCATAGTACCTTGCTTAAGCACTGCACCACTATAACAGCTGTGTGGAAGTAACCTGTATTGTGACTTGCTCGTCCCTGCATCCTGTCCGTATGTGGCCTCTGGTGCCTCTCGAACTCAGTGACACACCGGTGGCATGCCTGTCTTGCTTGAATTGGCTGCATGGCCAGCCCAGTAGTGGTCCACGTTGTGCGGCTTCAGGCACTAGCTGCTCCCGTATGTGAACACTTAAGGAGTTGTAGATTTAGGGAGTGATGATCAGTGCAAGGAGGTATGACCTCATAGGTTGGATGCGTAACATGTGTGCGTGTATCTGCTTGTACTGCCGTGTCATGGTCACGCTTTTCTCATGCATTCTAATGTGTTGTGCGTGAGAGGAAGTTAAGTGTACAAAGTGAAAAAAAGAAGAAAACAAATGCAAGAAGTAGCACTTTGCCGACTCAGCTGCACCCTTGGGGGTAGTGGCTTTTAATTTTTTTTTCGAATTTCTGTGCAATTGCTTGCAGTGGCCTTTGTGCCCTGCCCAAACTTGGCACGGTGATAGAAATGGCGTACCCCTCTCACTGTTACAAACAAACAAAAATAAACAGAGAGGTTTGCTGGCTTTGTTTGCCAGTAGCGCTTGCCACGACTATTTTGGTATACACTGCGTTGGGAAGTGCGCAGGCGTTACATGTCCGATGCTTGTGCGTGCAGCAGGCACTCCCTTGGTGCCTAACGCCGTCAGCTTGCCTGCAAGGTGCCAGATGGCGCCCGCCCAACGCGCATGCGCGCTTCCCCATGTTTTTTCTATGAACCCCCGTCCCGATTTTCCTCACGTCCGAGTCCCTCCGCTACTGCTGCTGCCGCCGCCACTACTTGGTGCCCGCTTTGGCGGTCACATGCGTCTTTGTACAGTATATGTAAACGAGAACACTTGATGCAGCGCTCCTGTGTATTATAGAGCAATAAAAAATAACTACTGCTCTGATTCCCTGGCAGCCCCTTTTTTTTTCTGACGCATTCACTTACTCCAATCACCATAAACATAAGCTGGGGGGGGGGGGGGAGTGCAAAGTCAGCCCCCACACAGTGACTGTGGAGGAGTTGCGCAACGACGAACTTTCGCCCCCTCCCGCATGAAGAGTAACCCTGCGCCCGCCTGTGGCAATGACCAGTAATGGGCACGCTACCTGTAAAAAGTGACAGTATTAAGGTTACCTAAGCCAGAAAAGTAACTCTTTTTACAGTTACCGAGTTTTCAAATGTAACTTGTCACAGTTACCTAGAAAAAGTAACGTCATTACTTTTTGTTACTCAGCAAAGTAAGGCACGGATTACATGCCAAACAATAGAATAGTTCAATAAAAACGTACGGAGAAGTATGGAAGGTGCGTAATGAGTGAAGACAGTCTATTGATTGTGGATGTTCGTTCCATATCGCCACAGGCATGGAACGATGTTTAGCCTTGCCAATGCGAGATGTGCCATGGTGTGAAAGAAGAAGAGGACGGTTGGTGTGCTCGTGCTCTAACGTTCAGTTCGGCTCGACGTCCAGTGCTGCTCCTGTGAACAGACGTTCTGGTCGTTCTGTGATCACGTGACATTTTCTGGTGGAGGTGCTGGGTACTGTTGTATGCACTGCAATCAGCAGCAAGGTCCCGACACTAGTCGCGACTTGGAAGAACCAGCTGACCCACGGCGCAGCAGGCGACAACTAGGCCTAACTCCTGAATTCGGACAATTTCCACAACTCGGCAGTACTATGGCTAGTGCGGGAACGCAAACCCAAGAAACATCAACGCTGCCTCCTCCATGGTTCTTCAACGTCCCGCGAACTCCGAAGCCGTTCCACGGTGACCCTTACGAGGACGTCGACGACTGGCTTGACGACTACGTTGCGGCAGCGTCAACGAGTGGAACGAGCAGCGAAAGCTTCGGTATGTCTACTTTTATCTCGAGGACTCTACGCGCACTTGGTTCGAAAACCATGAAGCCACTATGACAACCTGGCCAGAGTTTTGCAACCAGTTGCAAAATACCTTCCGAAGCTCTGACCGAAAGGAGCAAGCGGAATGGCTCCTCAATTCCCGAAACCAGCGTCCCAACGAGAGTGTTGCCATGTTCGTTGAGGACATGTCGCGGCTGTTCAGGCGAGCCGACTCCTCAATGACGGAAGAGAAGAAGGTGCGGCTCCTAATGCGGGGAGTGAAAGAGCAGCTGTTTGCGGGACTAGTGCGCAACCCTCCCAGCACTGTAGCGGATTTCCTCCGCGAAGCCACGACAATGGAGAGAATGCTAAGGCAGCGTTCGTACCAGTATGAGCGTCCTGGCAGTCTTTCGTCAGTGTCGTCGGCCCTGCCAACACCTGACGTCACGACTGTAAAAGACCTGACGGAGCTTGTGCGCAGTATTGTACGCGAGGAGCTGCAAAAGCTGCACGTGGTGTCTTCTCCGCCCCATGTTGCTGCTCTAACAGATGTCGTTGGCGAAGAGGTCCGGTAGCTGGTGCACCCCATGACGACTCTGCGTGCAGCCGAAATCCAACCCATGACGGTGTTGCGAAAGACGGGGACGCCAACACGGCCCCGAAGGCGCCACTGCTTTCAACTCCGCCGGGAAGGTGACCAGCCGTTTGGTAGCGTATGTTTATCAGCTCGCGACTGCTTCTGCGCAGAGCTGATAAGACGAGCGGGCGAGACGACGGTGAGTTAAACAAGGTTTATGTACAGCATATATACAGAGGCATTACAAATTCGGCACTGGGGCCGACAGAGACTCGAAGAGCCGAGCTCTCCTCTCTAATACATAGGTCAACTTTTCGCCTAAGACCGCCGACTCACACACATGTCGGCTCTCCGACATGGGGACTCCTCTCTCATAGGACTGCCGATCGCGACACGCCGCAGGGCTTCTTTTATTTACACCGGGTCCAACCAAAATGTCCAATCAGAAGCGCCGCTGGTCGTCAGGGCAGATTCCTCCAATGGGGTCGCCGTGCCATGCGTCAGACCACCAGACACGAGGACGCCGGCTCACTGTCACGTGCGCAGCTGACTCAATGCACGTGGGCCAGAGGGGCGCCGCGCGTGTTCACGCCGTCGAGTTGATCGCGCCAGGCGGACTGCGGGCCGGCCTTGACCCAGATTGCCTTTTTCAGAGGCACGGACGTTTGACGAGGACTCGCTGGCATAACAGCACCCCCGCCGCCAGACAATGCACCGGAAAGACGAGCTGCTTCCACGGGGCTCGGATGTCAGGTGCGCTCGTTCGCCAGGTCCCTCCAGGTTCGCCTCCAGGGCCACGGGGAGAATAAAGCTTCAGACTGTTCCGGGAACACATCCCATTTTTGACGACGGATCCCAGCTCCACTGGCTTGTCGCCACAACTTGTCGACCAGCTTCACTCGTCTCTTCTGACCATCTTCGGTTTCAGCACTTGTCGATGGTTCTGCAACTTGCCAAGAACGGATCGACAACAGACAACACACGAAACACGCAAGTGCCCTCGGTCACCCGACAGAATACCAGACAAAGTGTAGTACAACATATACCTACCTACGTGTCTATCGGAATTTTGTTCCCTCTACATCAAGAAGCACATGTGGGACAAAAGACCCTTAAAATGACAACTCAATTTTTTCCCCACGTACAACAACGTAACGGATTAGAATACCACATAAAGTTGGCCCCTTGAGATCACTCTAAACGAGAGCGCTCAGCCCAGGTCGTGATGAGGTCAAAATTTTGCCCCGAATCGCCAGCCAGAAACCGAAAGGTTGAGAAGTTACTAGCTGGAACGCACTGCTCAATGCACCTGCATTAGCGTTTACCTTTCCTTTATTTTTTTTTTTTTGATAGCGAACATCAAAGTTGCGCTGTGGAGCAACATGCTCCACTTCAGTAACCGGCCACTTTTAGGCGACGATACCTATGCGGCACCAAGAGCGGCTCACACTTTCGACGTTGCACAGGGGAACAACGATACGGCTTGCTACGGATTGACTCCTCACCGCTTAGCTCGATATCGTGTTCGATCACCCTCGTGTTTCCGGGGTGGTCCGAAAACACGTCTCCAAACTCGGAAACAATCCTTCTCGGGTCCTCCTTCCAGGCTTCACTTAACCTAGGCTCTAGGTTTATCTGCTCCCAGATTACTTTCGATCCCCCTTCGATTACCTCACTAGTACTCAAAACTTCCGCTCCCTCTTCCTCTGAAGCACTTAAAAGTAAATTTACGACTGCTTTCAAGTTGTAAATTTTGTCCGGCCGCCTTCCTAATTTCACTTCATAATTTGTATCGCAAGGCTTCGATAATACTTTGGCGGGCCCTTCCCAATCAACATCAAGCTTGTTCCTTTTGGACGGCTGCAGCAGCATTACCTGATTATCAACTTCAAAAGCGCGCTTCTTCACCGATTCCTCGTAGTGCTCCTTCGACAGCACTTTTGCCGCGTTTTTCTGGCTTTCCACTAGCGCTTCAATCGAGAGATCCTCACGCCGCTCTCGAATGAGCGTCTCTCGATCAACTCTCGGCAGCTCGCTCCAACTTTCCGCTACAGGCGAGAGCGTTGCAACCCTCTCCCTCTGATCCAATGGCGCCATGTCGTCTCCCCTTTCTACGGAAACGGCGCTGGTCGGTCCGGCGACGGGCCGCTCGCGTGACTGCTCACATGACTCACGCGGAAAGTTTCCTCTCTGGGGTTCCGTCGACCCGCCGACAAGGTCACTTGAGAGTTCACCGCTTTGAACAAGGTCAAGCTCTTGCGAGAGCTTCCGCGCTTGCGATCGCGTGAGGGCCATGTACGCTAAGTTGGGGAAGAACGATTTACCCTGCTCTTTGAGAAGCTGCTCTGAGTTGTTGGAGAAGAGATAAGGAAAACGATCGGGAAGCGCGGCAGACACAGCCGCTTCGGTGCGAAGCTTACCGAACGGGCCTTCAATGACAACCGTGGCGATTGGTAAGCAAACACTCTGCTCCTCGGCGACCTGCCTGATCCACGCGCATTCTCCTGTGAAGTCATCCGGAGACACCAATGAAGGATGGACAACGTCCATGGTTGCCGCTGAGTCTCTAAGTGCTCGGCACGTTTTCTCATTGACCCTAATTTCTTGGAGATACGGCTCCAACAACCGAATGTTTTTTTCTGATTCTCGGATCGTTGCGAAGGCAAACTTTTCCTGACAGTTTCTCGCGATGTGCCCTTCCTTTTTACAGTTGTAGCAGATTAGCGGCTTCCGTTTGTTTTCCGATTCAAATGCCTGTGTGGTAGAAACCTCACTCGATTTCTCCGCTTCTGTTTGCCCTTCCCCTACACTGTCCTTCGTAAGAGACGGGTCCTTTTTGAAATTACGGTGCGGAACGGGTTTCCGTTGATCAGGTTTCCTTGAAAAGCCCTCTTTCCTTTCATCCTTTTCAACGCGCACTGCCCTGCTATGCAACTTTCGGCGAGTATAATACTCCTCAGCTAACTCAGCTGCCTTGTTTAACCGTACTTCCCCAAGTCTGTCCTGCAGTCAAAGTTTGACATCCTCCTCGATGCAGCGGTAGAATTGCTCCAATGCAACGCATTCCACCACTTTATCGCGGTCGTCATACACACCTTCGCCCTTGAGCCATTCAATTAAATCGGCCTTAAGACGAAACGCGAAGTCAACGTGTGACTCATTCCCTTTTTCAGCATACCGGAACCTTTGCCTGAAAGCCTCGGGTGACAACTTATAACGTCTCAAGAGCACTTCCTTAACCTCGTCATAGCTCTCAAACGCTTCCCTCGACAAGCAAGTTATCGCGTCGGACACTTCGCCGGGAAGAAGAGCTAGCAGGTTCCGCGCCCAAAGAGGCCGCTCCAAAGCGTTTCGCTCACAGACGTGTTCAAACTTGACGAGATACTTCGCCATGTCCTCGCCTACTACGAACGGTGGCAGTTGGTCCCGAATTCTAAAACCGCTGACCTGAACTGTTGGAGAAGCTACGCTAGGCGCCTGCGAACACT